ATTAACAGGCCCCAGGCGTGCCTAATGACTGTTATAAGAAGCATGCCCTCCCTGAATCCATACAGCCTGGTTACCTAGGAATGCTGGCTAGCCAGACCTTTGATCTCTGTGCTACATGCATGCAGCATATCTGAAGCACATGTTCAGTATTCTATGATGCCTGACCACTGTCGTGGTGAGATCAAACCCACCCCTACACATAAGACTATTCGTGACGTTAACGCCCCTAGCGGGCAGGTCACATTTCAAATATAGACCCGGTGGGTATATAGTACATCATATCTATTTATACCTTTATCTGACGAAATAGATATTTCGTTACGCTTAGGTCTCTTGTGAAGTCTACATTTTCAAAATTACAGTCGTAGGGTAGAGGTTCTCGGTATTAAAATTTCTAATCCGAGAAGACTATTCACTCCTCGGCGTATTGATCTGGGAGCTTCTTTCCTCGAAAGGGTCGCTAAGTTTCCCCTGCTTCATTCTCTGCCAGACTTCCAAGTAGATCAGAAGTATTTTGCATTTGTGCTTAAATTCTGTCTTGAAGAAAGTACCAGTCAATTCCTGGAGGAATCCTCCACTGTGGAACTGGTCTCCTGTCTCTTTTACTGACTGATCAATAGAGATACATGGAGACTTGAACTGTCTCATTATCCTGAGAGCTGTCCTCTGAGTGATTGCTAAGGGTGGAGGGTAAATAAATGAGCTGGGCATGTGACCTCTGAGATGACTACTAATTCTGAGTTCCTTCTTGACACAGGATGATATCTCCTTAGAGGTCAGGCAGTCAATCAGCAGTCCACAAAATCACCAGCTACCAAACCATCACCATGGCAGACAAAGTGGAAGCCAGAGTGTAGGCATCAGCTTACATGCCGCCATTTGTCTTTAATCAGCGAGTACCCTCTTCAGGAGTTTGTTTGGGCTCCAGTGACTGAGAGGCAGTTGTTCCAGGCCACCAGGGCAAACGTTATACCAGAATACCCTCTCCAGGAGCTTGTTTGGGCTCCAGTGATTGAATTCTGTTTGTGACTGTTTTACCAGATCAACCATCGAATTGAACATTCCCAAAAGTGTCAGCCTGTTAAAGCAATCATGAACCGATGAGTGCAGTGACGTCAACCTAGACTAGATAGGTTGAGAGGCTCTGTGGTTTAATGCCTTGTTCTATATTTATAGGTCCACTCTGAGTCACCGTGATGAAATCGGGCTGTCTCTAAGAATCTCTTCGAGGATCTGTCAATGTTGCTGTGGTTTTGATCTCTCATTATTCCAGTTGTTCTTGAATATCTTTGCTTGAGTCTTATATCATGTATATGTTGCATTTATTACATGTCTTTGGAAGTTTTCATTATTGACTTGAGTGTCCATCATTCACTGTTCAAAACTGTTTAGAGTATATGCATGTATAACCAATAATCTTAATCTGTGTTCACATAGCTATGATAGTACATTATCATAACCTGGGTGCTATTTTCTTATAGTACTGGGAACGTCTAGCCAAGTTGCTTCTAGGAATATTATATAATCTGTAGTGCCATAGCTTGAGTTGAACTACTCCTGAAATAGGTTGGGTGTATTTTGGCCGCTGGATATCCTTCAGACGAATACGAGCCGACATTCCAACATTATACTATTTCAGAGTGCTGTTGGTTCTTACGGAGAAATCAGGCACGCGACACGAACGGTATGTGACAACCATAGGCAGGGGATTAAAACGCTACATTGTATTTTCTTTAAATATGGCTACCAAGTGTGTGTAGTGTCTGTCTAAATTGTATAGTCCATAAGAGCAGTAGATACATCACGAGCATCAGTGTAAACAAAACCAAAACAGCTGAATGGTTCAGTTTTGCAAAAACTTATGGAATTTAAATGTCTACAAGTGTGACCATGGAAGATTGCAGAATTGACAGAGAATTGAAACTAGATGTCAGAAAGCAAGTACACTTATGCACTAACTGTCACCATACTTAACACTCCGAACATATCTATGAGTCCAAAGAAACCGATTATAAACAGCATATTCTTTCCAACCCTGGGATACCAGTGTCAAACATGTACATTTATCTAAAGCCTACATACTCTAATTACATCTTGCGAGATGAGCGCGTAGGAAATGCCGAGAACCTAACCATCAGCGATCGGGTGAATAATAATACTATCAGAAAGTTTGTGAAACCTTATACTAGATTCATCAAGAAACAGCAGATGGAATGGTATAGCTATCTCGTTAAGATGGAGCATCAAATACCATAACAAGCACTACATCTCAAAAGATTAGCTAGAAGATCAAAAGACCGGCGACGAAAACAACAAAACATGGATAGACAACATTAAAGACTCTACGGCATGACAATAGCCAGTGGCAGCCCGCGTGCACAGCTTCTTCCTCTTTACGTCCTCTATTACCGCTTCGGGTGTCGAGGGAGAAATAAAGTCCTGTTTCATGCTATTTTGACTGTTTCAACCACGTGATAGTAGTCTATAGTAGTCTATAGAGTTTCTTTGGTTATCTTTCCATATTGTTCTGGGTCTATCTCTTGCTTTACGTCCCTCTCCTCTTTTGGTAAATGCCTGAAATGGTATATCTTAAGGAGGCATTCTCTCAAATGGGCACACCATTTGATTTGCTGTCTTTGTAATTTAGAGCTGGTTCTGTGACGATTTTATCTCGTATGACCTCATTCCTGATTTTATCTCTTCTGGTAACTCTTACAGTTTTTATCAGAAACCTCATTTCCATGGTTACTAATTTCCTTTCATGCGTTGTTGTGACAGACCACGGCTGGAACTGGTAGCATAGGATGGGAATGAAAATGCTTTGAATGAAATGTTTCTTTATGCTGATTGGGATTCCCTTATGCTGTAAGAGACGTGTGCTGTATTCCGTGCACAGGACGGTAAATTATTTCTTCTCTCGACGCCTAACAGCGGAAGTGGTTTATTATAATGATAACACATACACACTAAACAATCACACACTCGCACACACACACACACTAAACTAAGCAGTACGTGTCAGCACACCCACCCACACTAAACTAAGCAGTACGTGTCAGCACACCCACCCACACTAAACTAAGCAGTACGTGTCAGCACACCCACACACTAAACTAAGCAGTACGTGTCAGCACACCCACCCACACTAAACTAAGCAGCACGTGTCAGCACACCCACCCACACTAAACTAAGCAGTACGTGTCAGCACACCCACACACTAAACTAAGCAGTACGTGTCAGCACACCCACACACTAAACTAAGCAGCACGTGTCAGCACACCCACACACTAAACTAAGCAGCACGTGTCAGCACACCCACACACTAAACTAAGCAGTACGTGTCAGCACACCCACCCACACTAAACTAAGCAGTACGTGTCAGCACACCCACACACTAAACTAAGCAGTACGTGTCAGCACACCCACCCACACTAAACTAAGCAGCACGTGTCAGCACACCCACCCACACTAAACTAAGCAGTACGTGTCAGCACACCCACACACTAAACTAAGCAGTACGTGTCAGCACACCCACACACTAAACTAAGCAGTACGTGTCAGCACACCCACCCAAACTAAACTAAGCAGTACGTGTCAGCACACCCACACACACTAAACTTAGCAGCACGTGTCAGCACACCCACCCACACTAAACTAAGCAGCACGTGTCAGCACACCCACCCACACTAAACTAAGCAGTACGTGTCAGCACACCCACCCACACTAAACTAAGCAGTACGTGTCAGCACACCCACCCACACTAAACTAAGCAGTACGTGTCAGCACACCCACCCACACTAAACTTAGCAGCACGTGTCAGCACACCCACACACACTAAACTAAGCAGTACGTGTCAGCACACCCACACACACTAAACTAAGCAGCACGTGTCAGCACACCCACACACACTAAACTAAGCAGCACGTGTCAGCACACCCACACACACACTAAACTAAGCAGCACGTGTCAGCACACACACACTAAACTAAGCAGTACGTGTCAGCACACCCACCCACACTAAACTAAGCAGTACGTGTCAGCACACCCACCCACACTAAACTAAGCAGTACGTGTCAGAACACCCACACACTAAACTAAGCAGCACGTGTCAGCACACCCACCCACACTAAACTAAGCAGTACGTGTCAGCACACCCACCCACACTAAACTAAGCAGTACGTGTCAGCACACCCACACACTAAACTAAGCAGCACGTGTCAGCACACCCACCCACACTAAACTAAGCAGTACGTGTCAGCACACCCACACACTAAACTAAGCAGCACGTGTCAGCACACCCACCCACACTAAACTAAGCAGCACGTGTCAGCACACCCACACACACTAAACTAAGCAGTACGTGTCAGCACACCCACACACACTAAACTAAGCAGTACGTGTCAGCACACCCACACACACTAAACTAAGCAGCACGTGTCAGCACACCCACACACACTAAACTAAGCAGTACGTGTCAGCACACCCACACACACTAAACTAAGCAGTACGTGTCAGCACACCCACACACACTAAACTAAGCAGCACGTGTCAGCACACCCACACACACTAAACTAAGCAGTACGTGTCAGCACACCCACACACACTAAACTAAGCAGCACGTGTCAGCACACCCACCCACACTAAACTAAGCAGCACGTGTCAGCACACCCACACACACTAAACTAAGCAGTACGTGTCAGCACACCCACCCACACTAAACTAAGCAGCACGTGTCAGCACACCCACACACACTAAACTAAGCAGTACGTGTCAGCACACCCACACACACTAAACTAAGCAGCACGTGTCAGCACACCCACACACACTAAACTAAGCAGCACGTGTCAGCACACCCACACACACTAAACTAAGCAGCACGTGTCAGCACACACACACTAAACTAAGCAGTACGTGTCAGCACACCCACCCACACTAAACTAAGCAGTACGTGTCAGCACACCCACCCACACTAAACTAAGCAGTACGTGTCAGCACACCCACACACTAAACTAAGCAGCACGTGTCAGCACACCCACCCACACTAAACTAAGCAGTACGTGTCAGCACACCCACCCACACTAAACTAAGCAGTACGTGTCAGCACACCCACCCACACTAAACTAAGCAGCACGTGTCAGCACACCCACACACACTAAACTAAGCAGTACGTGTCAGCACACCCACACACACTAAACTAAGCAGCACGTGTCAGCACACACACACTAAACTAAGCAGTACGTGTCAGCACACCCACCCACACTAAACTAAGCAGTACGTCTCAGCACACCCACCCACACTAAACTAAGCAGTACGTGTCAGCACACCCACCTACACTAAACTAAGCAGTACGTGTCAGCACACCCACACACTAAACTAAGCAGCACGTGTCAGCACACCCACCCACACTAAACTAAGCAGTACGTGTCAGCACACCCACCCACACTAAACTAAGCAGTACGTGTCAGCACTCCCACCCACACTAAACTAAGCAGTACGTGTCAGCACACCCACCCACACTAAACTAAGCAGTACGTGTCAGCACACCCACCCACACTAAACTAAGCAGCACGTGTCAGCACACCCACACACACTAAACTAAGCAGCACGTGTCAGCACACCCACCTATATTTCTGAAGGCAACATAACCAGCAGCCATTGCTGCAGAGGTCTCGCCGATGAGGTCACTGCCTGGAGATTCAGGTGTCAGTTTATATGCTGGCCGGGTCATATCCATGTCCTCTGGTCGACCCCAGTAGGCGTGGTCAACATAGGGGTCACCAACCTGGATGACGGAAATGGACTAATGAGACTGGATGTTTTATTCTGGTCAGTAATTGGTAAAAGTAACAATTCCGTTCCCTCCGCATAAAGTAAAGAGAGTGACTTCCCTTCCCATTCATGCCTCGTCGCGGGGCCTCTGCGGGGGTGGGAGGGGGTGTTCTGATTTGGCTTGGTTCGTCGTTCGCACTGTGTTGTCGTGATTCTCTTTCAGGCGCCACAGGCACCTGCATAAAAGTAGGAAGTACTGCAGGGTAAGCACCATAGGCTCGACAATTCGTGAGTATCGAAACTGGGATGTTGTTCTACTTGTACGTTCGTTGGCGGTGCCCCCTCCGTCCCCGAGACAAAGAAGGCCATGACATGTAGAAATAGATAAACATCACAGTTATGAAGGCAAGGTACATATAAGGCGACATTCAAAAATTCATGTGGTTCCGTATGGAGTTTTTGAGATATTTGTTAAATTGTGAGGCTTGCGTTTGAAACGTATTATGTACCTATATGTAATAGGCCAAATGCTTTTGGTAAGCAATGTTGATATTACCTCTTCTGCCGTAACTTCCCAGGACTTTACCAGGTACCCACTGCAGGCTGGGAATCATAGTCAACATAACAATTCTGATTCGGACCTGCAAGCACGCCTCTATCCACTATGCCACGACCGTTCCCGTCCACTAGTACTGAATTGTAACGGGGGGAAACATGTAATCAGAAAGAGTTCAGTAATCAATCGTCAGTCGTGTGCCATCTCCATAATTAGGGTTGGCTGTAATGTGTTTGCAGCTCTCTTCCCCCTTGGGGTACACCCTCACAGAGTGCCAACTGACCCTGTTTTCATGTCACTGACTTACCTGTTTCGCTGCCTGTCTCTAGTGTATTTCTCCTCTATGTTAAAAAAACAATTAAAAAAAACTGTTATAATATGGCTATCATATTTCACTTGTGAGCCGCGTGGTGTAGCGGCTAGACACTCGCCTGCCGAACGAAAGGTCGTGGGCTCAGGTGCTGATGGAACCGTGCTTGGCTTCCAGGGCGACCTATCCTTAAATGGGTACCAGGTGCAGTGCTAGGAAATAAACTAGGCCGGTGTAATGTTGACACATCCCCCAGAGAGTGAGAGAGAGAGAGAGAGAGAGAGAGAGAGAGAGAGAGAGAGAGAGAGAGAGAGAGAGAATGATTACACATGGTCATGTGAAGGAGCCGTATAGCACCTTTCAGAATTTTTCTGTGGCTGGAGGGGCGGGGGGTTGAAGGCTCTCAGCTCCCCAAATTTTATTGAAAAAGGGGAGGGGAGGGCTCCAGGTCCCCAGTCTCCAAGATTAAGTCGCCCATAATTATGTGAAAACATCTAAAATTGATTCCTCTACTCTCCTATATCAGTAATGTAAACAGCCTTTACAATATCTAGGTAAGATATCTGCTACTCTCAAAATTCAACCATATAAAGAAGCTGGTGATTTGATAAGTCACTAGTAAAGTTAAATGTTACCGGTGAAAAAACCTGTATCTGGATAATACACTAGCAACCATCAAATATCGATTACCCTAAAGGATGTTTCGGTATGTAGATGAGACACTTGCCTGGCCGTAAAAGACGAACTTTTCCGTGTGTGCCTTTAAAAAGTAATCCAGTGACCATCGTACAGAGTCCAAGACATCGTCCAGGAGACCAGTAGACTTGTAGGCGCTACCAAACTCCACCAGACCCCACAACAACATGCTGGTGGCCGCAGCCATGGGAAGGCCGAACTTGATGTAATCTCCAGCTGTGTAGAAAGCAACAGACAACTGTCATCTGGTTGTATGAGATTCCAAACGTTAAGTTTATACAATTTTTATATACAAATCACAAATGTTAACTCGAACAGGGGGGAGAACGTTTTGTTTATCTTCATCATTATTATCACGAGCATGTGCCTTCCGTTAAGAATCGATAGTCTTGTTTTTACTGTTTGACATATATAGTAAAACTGCTACTGGTAACATCAGAATTAGAATTTTGCCGGCTACTGATGATGAGGTTGAAGCGCTTGTGGGAGTGTAATATGTGCAGTGATATCAGTTCTTAACTTAACCCACTCTCTTTGCCCAACCATATATATGGTCTAGAAAATACTAGTGCTCTCTCTCTCTTTCTCTCTCTCTCTCTCTCTCTCTCTCTCTCTCTCTCTCTCTCTCTCTCTCTCTTTCTCTCTTTTTCTCTCTGTCTCCATCAATCGTCTGACTCGCTCTCTGTGTCTCTTATCTATAGTCTGACTCGCTCTCTCTCTCTCTCTCTTGCACATTCTCTCACCAGACATATCAATGTTCGAGAACTTACTGTCCTTAAATGATTATGTTGTTAGAAGTTCGATAATTCATTACACTGAAACAGTAATGTCATCTAACGACCGTAACTCACAGTCATACCACCCTCCTGTCAGGTCTTCTCCAAAGTAACCTTGATCTTCAGTGGCCGAGTGACTCCGCCATGAGATCTTTCTGTTGTCTGGCAGCCAGCCAGAACGCTGAACCTCAAAGAAGAGGATCGATTTGTAGAGAACCTCGCCGTAGTTATAACCTGAATGGACACAAACAACCCAATAAATGTTGCAATTCATAAAACCACCAAATATTACAAATCATAAAACCACCAAATGTTGCAAATCACACACAGACACAAGCCAGTTAAACTATTGTGTGCGTGCGTGCGTGCGTGCGTGCGTGCGTGCGTGCGTGCGTGCTGGGAGTTAAAAATCTACCCAAAGTTTTTTTAGAGTCCTCGCCGGTGCAACGGAATTCGTGCAGAGCGCCAGATTTTCAGACTCAGGCTTGAGTTAGAAATAGAATAGATCACTGGGTTACACCCGTGTGCCATGATGTTGATCAGTCGAAAAAACAAACATAATACGCCAGCTGTCAGTCACGATGGCGTCTGTATTAATAACACTTACTCTTCTATGATAAAATCCCCCATCTTTAGCCGGATAGGATTTCAGGTTAAACCTGGCTGGTATAGCGATACAGGTGCCACAAATATAACTTCTTCAGAGGTTGAACTGGGTGTCTGGGATTTGACGTGTTGGTCTGTCATGGACACTTAGATATCAGGATGTTATGGTAAACCTTTAGGTGGCAGCCCTGGGGTAACAACCCCGTCAATCGATTCACTCAAATAAATTGCATGAATAAAGTGAACAAACAACAGTTTACAAAAAAGTATTTGTGTGTTTGTGTTGACGGAAGAAAACGAAGAAGAGGAAAAAACATCACCAAAAAACGAAGGACTTGTACCAAAGAAAAACATGTTACTTACGATTGGTGCTGGGTGGCCAGGGGCGCCTGGGTACTGTTGTCGGTATGATAGGGGGTAGGATCGGAGGTCGGGTAGGGGGTGGAATTGGTGGTAGGATGGGTGGAGTGACGTCACTGACAGGAATGAAAGGCCAGAAGTTGTGGGTCGGCAGTAGAAAATTCTTGTTGATCTTGTGTGTCTGAAATTAGGAAGTGTTCACTTTTGTGAATGAATGACACATGTTTTTGCAAGCGTCTTGCATGTTTAGAGGTTTTTGTGTGTAATTTAAGCGGCCCTTGGCCAGGAAAAAAAAAATTCAATTACCAAAATATAAAAGGTGTTTTAAAGTGAGCTGCTTAATTTGTGGAAAACAGCATTATAAACTCTGGCGACCTAAGTCCACTCTACCCGTGGCTGGCAATATATCTGGTGGAAATACACCACACGGAACTACTGCTTATAAGAATTGCTACTTAGCGACTCAAGTATTCTCAGTAGCCAGAACATATTTGCATTTAAACGCGAGCACAAATCTGTTTATGCATTTTAAACTACTGGCTTTACGATAGTCTACTAAGGTGCTGGTGTGGGAGTCGCGTTAGGAGGCTCGCTTTCAAATCCAGCTGCGACTCGCTGCAGCTGCGGTCGGTGTTCGAAACTGGGCAGTTTCCGAGGTTCACATAGCCTTTAGGAAATTGGTACAAGAGTGACACTCTAGAGGAACTTCGCTGTAGCTACAGCGCTACAGTAGCCACAGTTACGTGCGGACGGCGACACGGGCGGACAGTCTCTTATCAGCTGTCCGTACTGGTGGAAGAGCACTTATCGTTTATAACCGTGTGCAATGACGCTGGTTCACATCTCCCGACTTTACCTCTATTATTTTGTACTAAAGTTATAAAAGGCTAGAATTGGTAAGTGCTTTTTAACTGTCCTCTCAAATTAACGGTTTCCACGATATATAACCCAGGATGATTGCCAATTTCTAAATTTATTTTTTTCGGCACTGTTTAATAACTGTCTAAAGTCTCAGTGTCTCTAAAGCTGGGGCCAGAGCCGGAAAGTTGTGATGATCAGTTACTGTAAAACTTCACTGTGAAATGATTTCCCGAATAAGTGTCAATGGACGCATTACACACTTATTTGCTCTTCCCTGTCGGCTTTTCCGCGTCTGAAATGCCTCTACTTATCTATGTCTGTTTAAAGAAAGTATATAGTAAACGTGCCACAGTCATAACCTGGATACGACAACGAGCCTCACTATTAGCTACAAAAACAGAAACATGGAAAACAACTACCTTGACATCCTTGGGAGCCTCCACGGGAATTAGAGGCCAGAAGTTATGTTGTGGAACATATGACCCACGAGCGGTATTTCTTGTTGGCGCAAGTCGGGATGTAAAAGTCCGAACTGTGGTAGGTATGGTGGTCGTCTCTAGAGCGGTCCTGTTATGTGCCGTCCTGGGCGTTGTGGTGCGGCTAAGTGTGGCGTTGTCGCTGCGACTGAGTGTGGTGTTGTCGCTGCGACTGAGTGTGGTGTTGTCGCTGCGACTGAGGTTGGTCGCCGTGTTGACAACAGGCACCCAAGGCCAGAAATTGTGCACTGGTGAGTATATGGTACTGTTGGACTTAATGAAAGGCCGGATGAGGAGAAAGCCTACACTAATGTCTATTAACAGGAAGACGATGGAAACAGTATTAACCAGGTTAGTTAGTATCATTCTATTTCCAGCCTGACGCACGTGCTTCCCGGTCACTTGGTTTCTGTCAATCGTGTGAACGTTGGAGGAGATACTTGCTACAGATGGACATCAGACATCACCAGACTGCCGAGCAGTACTTGTGAAATGCTCTCTCTCTCACTCACTCTCTCTCTCTTATTTGTTTTCTTTCGTCTCTTTGATAGATTCGTCAATTCATCATTAATATAACACAACACTTTCTGAACAATGTAGCAACAGAACCGTCCATTCTCTTTGATTATAGTCAAGTGTTTTGGCCATCTAAATTCTTTCAGTAAATAGACGGTAACATTGCCTGAGCTGTACGTTTCTGGCCAGTATTTCCCAGCCTTCTGTGAGAATTCTTGGAGCAGACTATAATGTTAAACATGTACTAGAACCGCTTGGCCTGCTTACCACGGCCACAGAAGTCCATACATTTGAAAGAAATCCCTTACAATAAACACAGACTCAGCTACGAAATATCAATGATGGCTGTCTTTGTCAGCTTAGCCATGTTACACATGTAACCTCCTTGTTTACCAACGTGTTCTACGCTCCACACATTACACATCAGTGGTTTCCAGGGAAATTTCAATATGGAAATTTCAATGCTAGAGTTATCCACGAGACAACATTGAAAATATTTCATGTACAGTCTGTCATGGTAATATGTGTAAACTGCGTTTATTGAAACAAAACATTCTCTTTAAATTTCCAGTGGCCTACTCCTGTCATCACTCAGCTTCTCGTTTGTCTTATACGACACGATCCAGTGAATTTCCATATCCTGATGTCTGTTACCGAGGAGGAGACTGTGATGTGTGTGTGTGTGTGAAGAGAGTATAATATTAAACACCATCTATCGAAAATGTAGCCTACATGAATGCAAGAATGAACTCTCTGGCTTTAGGAGTCGAGGCTAGCGATCATCAGTAGTTATCACTGCTTAAACTTGATTTGTGTTTGAAGCAAATCTGCAGCTTGAAGTATCGCGGATTCACATTTGGCGTAATGCTGCTCATTCCAACACATATAATTTATATTTTCCTTCCGAGGCGTCGAATTGCAAGTTTTGTGTTGGCAGTAGTTCTGCAGTGTCAAACAATAAGTTCAACTATAAGTGAAAGTTTAGATCACCTGACGTAAAAGAGCTAGAGATATAGCTGTAAATGTTTACTGGCATCCTTTGCAACAGCAGCAACACAACTTGCGCAAATATCGCTTGAGGCCAGCACCGACAGCTCGTCGTTTGAGATTCTCAAAAGCCATGACCTCTAGTGTAGCACTGACTTATTGTAGCTGTGCAGCTGTGCGTGTAGCTGTGCAGCTGTGCGCGAGCAGTCTAAACCTGCCTTGTGTAGTGAGGATTTGCTTAGATGCTGTAAAAATAAACAACGCAATACGTTAATTGAGTCATATTAACCATTTAAATAAATATAATGATCACCTTCAGTACACGAGAATACATCTTAAATGCTAAAGGCTCTCTACACAGAACACTGTAAGAAAGAATCATGGAGGAGACCCGGATACTCGTGTGCGGACATTATATAGATAGTAGTTATAACTTTATTGAAAAAGGTGGATTTTCTAACTGTTTTGTTATGTTGCACGGCAGGCAATCAGATATGCCTTCTTCACCCAACTGTAGTCACCAAAGCGCTTAGGTTGTCTCTACAAGTGATAAAGGGAAAACGAAGACTTGAGTAACTAGGAAGCTT